GTAGCCCAGAATAACAATAAATCAATAAGCAGTATACAGAGTCTATCAGATAAATAGCCCAAATAAAGCAACAGATGTTAACAAGTGATACAGCAGCTAAATAGCATGAAGTGGTATAGGAAATAACACAGAATAAACTGCCTAGATGAACACAGAATAGACTGCCTAGATAAACACAGCAATAGGCTGCCTAGCTAAACCCAGCAATAGACTGCCTAGCTAAACCCAGTAGACAAACTGTTAAAACAAATCCAGCAAGAACCCTGCCTAAATAAAACCAGCAATTAAGCTGCCTAAACAAACCTAACAAATAGACTGATTAAATAAACAAGCAGCATGTAGGATAAAACAACAACCAAGAGCAGAGACAACTCTGAGTTGGTGAGTGCTCACCTGGAGGCAGCAGCAAAGAAAGAGGAAGTGGAAGAGCCTGCTTAGGAGTTTTATACTACTGTTGCTTTGTTCTGATTGGTTGTTTTGAAAAGTTCTGTTAACTGTTTCTTTGTTGCTGGAGGTTTCAGTAAAGAAGGTAAAGCAAATATGAAGCCTCCTGTCCTGCCATAAAATCTGCAATTTTTGACTAGACTGTGTGCTTAAATCAAGCTCTCAATATATCTGTTTAACAAGGAAAAATTATGTGACACAAATATGACTACACTTTCATTATGTGATACTTGTTTAATGTATTATGTCTGCTGGATGTATTACACTTGCTTGACCTCAACTATATCATCTACACATGTTTTGAGCTTTTGTATAAAAACAAAAACCTTCAATAAAAATAAAATAAATGAACAAAAAAGAGGGTGTAAAAATTAACAAATGAGTGTTCTGCTAAATTTATACTTGATATAATGTTATATCATCATTTACCCACTATTCGGTTCAAAGATCAAAAAAAAAAAAAAAAAATAACAGAGAATAACAGAGAAACAAGAAAATCAGTTTAAAAAATTTATATTTAAATATTTAATATATAATTGCAGAATTAAACAGTCAGGAGTGCTCAACGGCACAAATCTAGTATTATTTTTCGTTACTAAATGTCATAAATACAGGGTGCTTAATAGTATAACCCTATCACCTCATTAGGAAGACATTAGAAAATATAACAAACACCACATTGTGCCTATTTAATCAAATAGAGACCATGTGCATTTAAAACAACATACAATATAAATACATATAGAACTACATATAGCTATATATATGTCAAAAATGTAAACCCACTAGACCATAAGTGTTACCTTCAAAAATTGATGCAAAAAGAGTATAGCTCAACATTTTGGCCAGATGCCTTTTCAAGGGGATCACTGTTTTGTACCAGAATGAAGTGCATTCCTAACAAACAAACTAACAAAGGCAAATTGAGAAATTAATAGAGAACTTATAGATAATGGTAATCAATTACATGCATAGTTGCAACAGCAACAGAAGTGATGCAACATACCTTAAAGGGGAGTATTCAAAGGACTCACTAGACATTTAAAAGCAAAGGATTCCTGGAGCTACATTACAGCTGACTGAGGAAGCTCACAGATGAGTGAAACACGTTTTGGCTGATTTTGGATTTTTAAATTGGATTTTTTGTTTTATATTTATATTATTGTGTTTTTATTTGTAACCAAATCATTTTACTAGTTATTCCAACCAAGTCTTTGGAGCCTCTAGGAACCTTTATTGGGGCAGTGTCATCCTAAGAAAGTGGCACACTGCTGATTATCCTTAGAGCCAGGATAAGAAGGGTCTTAAAAAGGTGAGCATAATACTTACCATAAGTTTATCACCTGTATTTTGCACAGTACCACCCATTTGGTCTCCTTTTTCTCCTTTCTATATTTTCTTGGTGTGTGGTGTGTTGCTGTCCAAAGAGCAAAAAGGTTTACTTTACTGAGCCAATACCATACAGGCTCCAGACCATGGGAGTGGTTCTAGTTATTTATTTACTACTAATTACTATCCAAGACCATCTACACTATATATCTCTGTGTTTTTTTTTCTTTTTCATATATACCTTAAAATTTGTATCTTCAAGTATGTTGTTACAGCCAATTGATGAGGTAAGTGAACCCCTACACAATTTTTTTTATTTGTATAGTGCTCCACTTATTGGTATATGTTTTATACCATATATTTTCTGTAGACCTATATTCAATAAATAAGACCTGTATATTACAACATACATAAAACATATAAAGATAATCTAGCTTTTTTGAAAAGGCAGAGAGCAATGAGTCAAGAAATGCCAACTAAGGAAAAAGAGAAGCATACACACATTTAGACTACTAAAATCTCATAGGCAATGCCAACCTTGGTGTTAGGGGAACAAGGAGAGTAAATACTATAAAATCAAATGATAACTTCAGAAAATATTGCTCAGTGCTGCTTTAATCACAAATAGTGTTAAAAGATATCAATGAACACTAAACTGGAAGTACTACTGAGATTAAATACTTGTCCTATCAAAAAATATAAACCAGGCATTCATTTAGTTGAAAGTAACACTTCATGTATATATATATATATATATATATATATATATATTATTGATGCATATTGAAGCACATTATTATATAACAATGAGATATTTGGTAAGTATGCTCAAAGTTATTCTGTTCTAGAAAGGAACATACATCCAACACTCTGGTCTCACACTGACAAAGAGAAAGTGAGAGGCCCTAGTTGAATCGGGGTCAGCTGTAAACCCCACACATAGATTTGGATATCTTCTAAAAACCTTAGATCCAGAGAGTCATTCAGTTTGCCATCTTATTCTTTTCACTGGTGTCCTATTTTTGAGAACCCAAGGAGAAACTTGCCAAAAAGTAAAGTGTAAGTTTTTCTTTAATTTGTTTGGTGCGTGCAAGGCAAATAAAGGGATGAGTATGAGAATTATGGCAGGGGGGATAACATTAGTTGTCTGCAGCCTTACAGAACAATTGTTCTATTAATTAAAAGTAGAGAGAGATGTTTCAGGATATCTGTTGTTCGAGTAATGCAGGAGTGTTGCAAAAGTCATAGGTTGGACTGTTGTTAGCCCAGAACTATGTGGGTGTCTACTTGGGCTGCTGAACGCTTCTATTTTCTCCAGACCTGGACAGCCAAACTGGGATTTTCCTAGAATATGTTATGAACTGGGCTGACCAGTCCGGCATACTATGATGAGTATTTCTGGTATATCTGAAGGTGTTTGCAATTACAGGATGGAATGACACATGCTTAGTACCATTGGTGGCAACAGAGTCACAGGCTATAGAGTGAATGTTGAAGTCAAATAATTATCTGTGAATGCTCTCTCCCTGGTAGTTTCATGTGCCAAAAAAATATCAAATACCATTGCTCATGTTTACCAATGCTCCAAGCTTTTTTTATTAGTGAAAAATAAGGATGCAAATCCATTTTTATATGCTTAGGATGTGCAGGCAACAAAAATAACTTGCAACAAATTTCAGCATCAACAGTATCTTTATTTGTCTTTTACTCGACTTTTGCTATACACATGCTGTGAACTTAATTTGGTTGCATCCATTTAACATTTTTTTAGCTTTTATTTATGGCTGCAATAAAAAGGAGGATTGAGATCCCATGGGACTATGGTCATTTTATAGTTAATCCTGCTCTAATAATAAATGTTATATGTTGTAGGTATGATTGCACAATTTATATGTTGAACACAACATGGATGTCAAAAGGAAATAAATTCAAAGAAAGGTAATAAAGACATACAAAGATAAAATGTCAGTAGAAGGAGAAATTAAAGTGAAATGCAGAATCTTGAATATTAGTCACACCACACCGTTTTATTGTTAGTGTTCCTATCTGTTGAAGTGTGGGACCTCATAATAAATACACATGAACACAATATAATTGCAGGTTACTATAATATGGAAAAGTGCATTATATTTGGTATCAGAAGTACTTGTTGTCTAAGCTTGCACATCCTTGGAGAGAAGGAGGCTTATTCCTTCATTTGACCTTTATTATTTTACATCTCTATAAACATTTACCATGCATTTAAGTAATTCTGTCAAAGAATAAAAGTATGTTTAATATAAACCATTTCCCCACATAATGCGTATAACGTGTATGGCTAATAGAATACATCCTGATTTCTAGGGAGCTAAAGAGGGTCTACTTAGTAGAAATCGGGGTCCTCTGCATCCCTCATTATTCAAGAGGGTTTATTTCCATCAACATAATATCAATGAATAGAAGCCTAAGTGATTATATTGACTCTTTCAGAGATAACACATACATGTTTTAACTAAGTCGAACTTTAGATAATTAAATACGAATCGCAAAATTAAATCTAACAAAATTCAATAACTAGTCACAGATTTTATACTCAAGCATTTACTCTTTCGTTTTTTTAATTTTTGAAAGTTGTTTTCAGGCTTGTAATTTCTACAAAACAGTATATTCCATCACGCACAAGGGCAAATGACCTGCTAAATTGGCTAGACTAGGTCCCGGTGCGGCCAGACGTGAGGATGTGGACACCTTCTTGGGGGCCCCCGATTGCATTGTTCTTCATTTCTACAAGGCTGACAACTTGTACACTGCTTGCCCGGTGAAGGCACCTTTGGTTGTTACTCCTGGTATGTTAAACAGGTGGTGGTCAACATTTCCCTGGTTGATGCTCTATGTCCCCATTCGGCCCTTGCTGTCAATCCGATGAGGATAATGGGTCCCTTTGGGACTGTCTCTCTTCAACTCACACATCCACGTTTCTCAGAGTGGACACTCCCAGGCCACATTACAGAGTTCCTTAGGTGTTTGCTCCACCGCCCTCTGGATAAAGAAGTCAGACGAAGCTTCAGGTGGGGTGTCCTTCTACTACACTACCAGATAAAGTGTCCCTTACCCCTGACTTTGACCTAGTGTTTTCAACTTTCTGGCACATTCCAGGAAGGATCCATAAAGGGGCCTGGAGCAAGACAAGCTCCTTGATATCAGCAACTTGCTGATTCAGATTTTTCCGATAGCTGATGACGCTCTGAATGAAGAAAAAACAGTGGATGCGCACCTCCTTCATGAATGGGTCGAACGTACCATCTGCTTGTGTGGCAACGCCATTGTGGCCTTCCCACAAGGCAGCTCTTTACGCACTGGACAGCAAGCTGGATGTCTTGGAGGGCTGGTTGACAGTGCACTTTCAGAATCTTTCTCCTCCTATTCCTCCAGGTGCCAGTACCGACGGCTGTTTCCCGGTGGTTCGTTCAGGGACTGTGGTACCTCATCCACCTGGACTCAATACTTCTCAGGTAAGTCCTTATTTGCCTGACTTACCGATTGAGTGCAGGCTGTCTCAATTTTTTAACCATCATGATGATCTCAAAGCGTTTAACAATGTTTCAAGATGCAGGACGTTCATCTCCTAGGTATTTTGCTCTGCGTGGGTGTTCGGTTCTCACATCTAAAACTGAGGGAAGCTTTTCTCACTGTGCTGATTCATTGCAACTATAGGCAATGTTCTGGTGGCTAGTCCACATTCTACAGTTTTCATTCCTTCTCTTCGGCCTCTGCTCTGACCCATGGTCCTTAATCGCATTGTTGAAACCAGTCATGAAGGCTTGGAGAGCCTGGGGGATACGGTGTATCATCTATCTGGACAACATTCTACTGATGAAATGGGACCCGTTGTGGTTCTTCTGCTCCAGGATCTGTGGTTCGTAATCAACGTGGAGAAGTCATATCTGGTGCACTTTTGGTTGGTCTGGCTTCTGAGCTTCATCGTGGATTTGACTCCGTCTCAGGAAGGATGTTAGATGATCGCTCTGAAGCCCTCGGCTCACTTTGTGGGAACTGACAGGGATGATGGGTCTGCCCTCATCCTCCATTCGGGACATCTTCCCATGACCAAAGCTTTATTGAGCTCTACTACGCCTGATGGATCGCTATCACAAGACTTCAATTTCCTGTGGCCTGGTTTTGCTCCTTTCAGACCAGGTGACCTAGAACTCCATTGGTGGCTTCAACACATGGGGACCTGGAACAATGAGGCAATTTCAGCTCCCCTACGGACTTCATCCAGACTTTCCCTACACTTGTGGGACGCCAAAGCTTGATTCAAAGCTTCAGTGTTTCACGTGTTGGACTTCCTTCGGGGTCCCCTCCATCTGGACCTCTTCATGTGCAGGGCAAACTGCTTATGCTTTTGTTCCTCATCTGGCTCCTGGTTTTTCTCACGATGTGGTGGTGGATGCATTCATCCAGGTCTGGCCATTCATGGGAGTGTATACATTGCTGCCTTTCTCCATGATGCATAGGACTTTCCATCAAATCAAGTTGCTGAGAGTGTAGATACCCTTGACTGCACCACTGTTAAGGAGTAAGCTGTGGTTTCCTCTCCATCTGGGATTTGTTGTGCAAAATGCTTCCTGCCTCTGGGTTTCTCCTTTGGACTCCGGCTGGGATCCCACACATTTTGATCTTCGAGCGTTGTGGCTCGAGAGTGTCCCTAGGACTGTTGGACACCAAGCACTAGGTGATTCTCTGCACATCTGATAGGCCTGACATTCCTGGTATTTGCCGAGGCATTTTGATCCCTTTGTGGCCCAAGTTGTGGGTCTCCTGAACTCCTTGGCTGAATTCTTTTTTCAGGGTAAGTCTTTCCGGCCAATTTTTGTCTTCCAGTCCAACATCTCGGTGGCTTATGTTCCCTCTAAGGGCTCTTGCATGGGGATAAGCCTCTCAGTCTACAGACTGCTCCGAGGTATGCATCTTTCGAGATCGTGACCCCCGCTTCACACTATTCCTTGTTCTGGGACGTATCGTCGTCTTTCATTTCCTTAGTGACTAACCAGTTAACGGACATTGATCTCCCCATCAGCTTTCAGCTAAGCCCGTGTTTCTCCTCTGTTTCGTATCTTCACATCGCTCTCAGATATTCTCACTGTTAATGTGGAAGGTTTTTTTCTTTCTCCCCTGACGGTGTTTCATTTTTCAGTATCTCGCAGAACAAAGTTTATGTCTTTGTCTGTGTCGTACTCTTATTTTACAGATGGGCCACATCTCTGGGTCTACGGACCTATATCTCCGTGACTTGGTCTCTTTATTTCCCTGCCCGTGGGTGGCTATTGATTTTATATGTGCGTCCGTGATAGGCACTCTCTGGCTCTCTACCACTGCAGGCATGGAGAGATCCTTCAAGGTACTAAAATATTGGTGACTCTGGTATCCGGTGGGTGCCTTATGGATTTTCTCCAAGCGCAGATCGGTCTATGGAGTCGATTCTTCATGCATTTTATTTTCGTTCGCGCTCCAATGTGTCTTCTGCGTTTATATGTCTGGGTGTTAAAATAGCAAATATGAAGCCCCCTTGTCTTGCCATAAAATTAGGGATTATTCTAGCATTGGTGAAGGAATAATCTAAATTTTATTAAAGACAGGAGGCGAATATTTCTTCCTTGTTTGTTTTGACATTTCCCTACCTGGATTGTGGGTTATTTTGGGGGTATTTGCTGTGATTTTTTATTTTTTCTGTCATGTGTTTGGTTGAATTTTACAGCTAGTTGCCTGTTTGAGTTTATTCATTATGTGTTAACATACTGCAGTACTAATGTGATTTGTACGACATTCTGCCTTGGCAGTTTACTTTCACAATGTTTTTTTCCTTGCAGTGTAATTAGGATTTCTTTTGGTTTTGGTGGTTTCTCGTTTGATTGTGCCTGCTACAGATTGGCTTAGTTGTATTTCAAGCTCTTCTGCTGGACCTTATTAAAGAAAGATGAAGTGGGAGGGTCTGCCTGAGTGTTTTGTCCTACTGTTCTTTGTTCTGATTGGTTGTTTCTGAAAAGTTATGTTAACTATATCTTTGCTGCTGGAGGTTTCAGTACATATTCCTCCTGTCTTTAATAAAATTTTGATTATTCCTTCACCAAGGCTAGAATAATCTCTAATTCTTAACTATTTTACCGCATTGTAAAGCTTGAAATATAATAACTCTCTAATTTGTCACAATATGTTTTCTATTAAAGCATAGGCTATGTATATTGTTTAACACAGGGGATATTTATATTGTAAATTACAAGTATATGTGTGTAACGGCACCCCGGGCATAAAAGGGTTAAACCGCCGTTTAGTAGATCTTCCCTTCCAGAGACACAGGCACAGCTACTGTAGACACCAATCCACCAAACTGGAGAAGCATATGAAGGCCGTAAACAGCTGAACTGGAACCACACGAATGCTGTAAACAGCCGAATAGGAAAAACCATACAAATAGGTTTACACTCCTAGCAGTCAAACTGGAACAGCATACAGTAAATCCCCCCAAGAACGAGACAAAGCTCTGTGTTGAGGATCAAGCAGTGAACAGACAGAGCTATGGGTTTATTGTTCTTATAAACACATTAGTACCACCCACAGGGTTTTGGAAAACAACCAATAAACACGTACAATACACTCCCACACAAAATCCTCCCCTCTGCCTGTGATACAATTACCTTACACAATGGGTAATGTAATTATCAAAGGCAAACAAATACAGTTTTCCCACATTATTCATAACTTTAAAAGTATGCATCACATTCACATAAAATTTTCAGACTCAGCATACTCCAAATACAAACATATGTCAAAATCATCCAAATTGGTCCAGTGGTTCAAAAGATAGATCGTAGCCCTTTGTGACCAAATGAAGCATGGCTTTTCTGCCCAAAACCAGTTGCGCAGAGTCTTCTATGGAAGTAATCCAATTATCTCCAATGCCAGAGGCAAAACTCCACTGAACACATGGCAGCAAAAGACAATAAAATACATAAAAATATATAACTGTGTGGCCATTGCATAAAACAGGTACATATCCCCAGATAGCTCAGATCTGAACGCACATTATTACTGAATGGCGCCCAGATCACACACGTACAGTTCAATTGCCATGGAGCCAAAGTCTTTCCCATAGTCTTTCATTATTACGAATGGGCTCCATGGCATAGCTATCTGAGGTATCACTGCTCAAACAGGGCAAGCACCGAATGACCCGGCTTTCGTGTCTTTGCAGGGGAAAATCTAAAGGCAGGAGGCGGGCCACCAGGCTCCTCCAATGCACAGTGGCGAGATTGATCTCGTCACATCGTGTACCATGGGTTTAACTGTTTAGCTCCTGAATTGAATCATAGATCACACACCACAGCACAATATATGCTATTAGGAAAGTGTGACCCAAAAAGATTTGCTTTTACCATTAACAGTCACAGTCATTGAGTCAAGGACCTTAACAAAAAACCCAGAGTCAGAGAGAAGAAACTAAAAGCAGCAATGTCTTGCCACTGCTATTGATAAGGATGATTATGAAAAGAAGGATTATGTGGCTGAAAGGGATGACGGCAACTCTGCAGAAACAAGCAGCAGGAACCCGTTTCATGTTGACTACACAAATGCCACTGCACAAATAAGTAATTTAATTTTCAGGAATATTATCAGAGGTCACAACACTATCAGGAATCAGCCAGTGGGATCAAATACCAGTTTTATCAGTACATTCATAAATGAACCATTAGAAGGGGTAATGGTGAGTTACAAACTCCTATTTTTTTGAGTTAATTGTTTTCAAATTTCACATCACCTCAAAAGAACAGAGTACCATTTACATTTGTAAAACTTTGGGACTTTATTTATTGTCTTTTGCAGAAATTATTTGCAGGGAGGATACAAATGGAACTAAATAGAAAAGGGGGGATGTTGAATAATATAGGCTCAGTATGACTGTCTCATTCTCTGTGAATGTCTCTTTTTCCTTGTTCCTCCTTTCTTTTGGTGTTCTTTTGATGTTCTATGAACTTCCCCAAAAACACATTATGTGTGTTGTATCAACAAACTAATAACACACCTCCAAATTTAAGCACTACCAGTGAATACAAAGGTTAAAAGACATATTTACCCTTACAATGTAGATATAACAAGACTACTCTGTCTTCATATAACTAAACACTACCAAATATCTACAAATGAAATAAACTCGAAATAGTGTAACACTGTATATAAAATGTTAAAATGGGAGTTGATAAAAGGTAACATTGATTGAAGGCAATGTAATACATTTTTTTATATTTTCTCTCTCCTTAAGGTTCTCAGTCAGTGACACCGTATATAGAGGGAGATAGAAAAAAGGGGACACATAGAGTAGATCTTGTATCACAAAGTCACTCCATTTAATAATATTGCACTAACAGGATTAAAGATAAATGCCAGCATATGATCCACTCCCTGAAGATCACAAGTAGTCAGCATCCAAGGAAAAGAACGAAAGCAGCATGTATCT